GTGACAGTAGAACCATCTAAGTGTATTCACTGCAGACAAGTTAAAAAAAAGAAGAGAGCCTTCTGAGTGATACTGAAGATCATTGTTAACTTTAAGCCAGTCTATAAAGAAGCTGCTTTAGCCTTATAATTGTCTGATTGTGTGCCAGATACAAAGACGGTACAGTTAACTCTTCAAAACAAGTTATCCTGGTACTGCTGATTGACAGTGGAATAAAACAGGACCTCAAAGACAAGCTTTTATTTTCAGTTTGTTTGCTGTTTTCTTTTTCCAAGGATGCTGCCCTATGTGTTAGTTTTGATGGTAGATTTTGGTCAATATTGATTTTGTTCCAGCCTATCAGCTCTAAGCTCTATGAAAGTTTTATGGAAGAATATGACTCTTTGTATTTAAGGGATTTCAATTCAAACAATGCTTACAAGGAAAGGGGAAAAGAAGTATTTTGTAGGTTGGTACTTTCCATTTTGTTTCTCATTTTTTGGGATTATGTTCAAGTTCAAGGTTCCTCACAATGTTCTCATCAGTAAACTGGACTTAAATTCTGCAACATGGCCTTTGCATTTCTGTGGCACTTTCTGCAGCAGACTCAGGTAAATTACAAACTAGAAGATTTTAATGAATCAAGTTTGAAAATTATTATTCCAATCAGTGCAGTATTCTTTCTGGTGATTTGACATTAAAATAAAATGATTTACATTTCTTTAAATTCCTAAATCAGTTGCAGACTTTGGTTAAGCTTGTCCGTAGCCTTTGAGTGGTGGTGGTGATTGCTTTTGGGCAGACAGCTGGAAGATAGTTGTAGTTCTTAGAGAAACATGATGTGTTATGTGTAATATTACAGAAATAGTATGTGTTTGGGAGTAGAAGGTGTAAACTTGAAAGTAAACTAATTATTATGCTGTTATGGGAGCGGCAGTAAATGTTGTTACATACTTGCTATCATGTAGCATCTCCAGTTCTTATTCTAGGTTGTCAGAATATTTGGTGTCACTCTTCAAGTCCAAATGAATTTTTGTTTCTTATATGACAAAGTTCAGTGATTATGAAGACAATGAGGATGTTCTTATATCTTAGTAAGCTTTTGCCACTTGTTTCCAAAAGGGTGTGGATTAATAGGAATAAAGTAGTCAGATCAGTATCGCTTTTGATTTCACAGAATCTATTTGATTGGAAGAGACCTCTGGGATCATTGAGTCCAACCTTTGCCCTGACACTACCATGTCAATGAGACCATGGCACCAATTGCCACATCCAGTCTTTTCTTAAACACCTCCAGGGATGGTGACTCCACCACCTCCCTGGACAGCCCATTCCAATGCCTAACAACACTTTCTGAAGAAATGCCTCCAAATTTCTAGGCTGAACTTCCCCTGGCACAGATTGACACCATGCCCTCTTGTCCTGTCAACAGTTGCCTCGGAGAAGGGGCTGACCCCAACTTTGCTACAGCCTCCTTTCAGGTGGTTGTAGAGAGTGATCAGATCTGTCCTCAGCCTCCTTTTCTCCAGGCTAAACAATCCCAGGTCCCTCAGCCACTCCTCATCAGACTTACCCTCTAGACCCTTCTCCAGTTTTGTTGCTCTTCTCTGGACTCTCTCCAGCACCTCAATGTCTTTCTTGAAGTACGGGGCCCAGAACTGGACACAGTACGTGAGGTGCAGCCTCACCAGTACCGAGTACAGGGGGACGATCACTTCCCTAGTCCTGCTGGCCACACTATTCCTGATACAGGCCAGGATGCCATTGGCCTTCTTGGCCACCTGGGCACACTGCTGGCTCGTCTTCAGCTGGCTGTCAGCCAGCACCCCCAGGTCTTTTTCCGCTTGACCACTTTCTAACCACTCTTCCCTCAGCATGGAA